AAAAAAAAAAAAAAAAAAAAAAAGGTTTCCCTTTATAATTATTTTCTGTTTTTCTCATAGCTTTTAAGATTTCATTATTGTGTTAGATTTCTCTATTTTACTTGTGATATAGAATGAAGTGTGTTTGTTTTTTTCCACTTATGGTTATCTAAGGTATTAAATGCCTAATTTGTATGTTAAATTGCTTCTGCATGTCTGGGAAGCTTTCTGCTATCACTTCTGTAAATAGGTTTTCTACATTCTATTGCTATTTTAAGCACTAAATTTTGGAATTACTAGACAACAACAGATAACTAAATATAATCATGCTTGGATTTATTTGGTTTCCTGAATCTGTGGATCAATGTCTTTCAACAGTTGAGGAAACTTCTCTGCCATTATGTCTTCTAATTTACTTTCCTCCCTTTTTCTAAAATTCTTTTTTTAAAGTTTATTTATTTTCTGTATTTAGGACAGGGTCTACAGGGTCTCACTACATAGACTGGACTCATAGTGATTCTCTTGTTTTCAGCCTCCCAAGTGCTGGGATTACAGGCATGTGCCACTATGCCCAGTCTCAATCCCTGTCTCAGCGTACCCTGTGGGCAGGGCCAGCACTGCACACTGGGGATCGAACCCAGGCTGCTGTGCTCTGCCTAAGCAGATGCTTTAGTCCGCTGAACTATCAGGCCAGCCTTTCTTTCTAAAATTCTAACTAAATAGTTATTAGGCTTCCTCATTATATCTTCAAAATCTCACCTATACCTGGGCGTTGTGGTACATGCCTATAATTCTAGCACTCTGAGAGACTGAGGCAAGAGGATCTTAAATTCAAGGGAAGCCTGGACAACTTAGCAACAATTGTCCTCAAAAAGTGGTGCAGGGCTGGCCAGTTAGCTCAGTGGACTAAAGGACCTGCTTAGGCAGAGCACAGTGGCTGGGATTTGATCTCCTGGCATGCCATGCCAGCCCCACCCCCAGGGTGCACTGAGACAGGAACTGAGACTAGGTGTGATGGCACGCGCCTGTAATCCCAGCACTTTGGAGGCTGAAAAAGGAGGATCACTAGAATCCGATCTACATAGTGAGACCCTGTACTAAATACAATAAAAAAAAAAAAAAAAGTGGGAGAGGCCAGGAATGTAGATGCAGCTCAGTGCCAAGATCCTGGGTCCAAGTCCCAGTACTGCAAACAAAACAAAAATACTATATTTTTCCCTTTTCATTTTGTTTGCATTCTAGACAGTGTTACCTGACCTAACTTCAGCTAACTAATTGTTTAGCCAGTTCTAATCTATTAAACCATCCATAAATTATATTATTATTATTTTTTTGTACTGGAGATTAAACCCAGGGCCCCTATACGGAGCCATCCCACCTCCACCTCATGAAATAAGAGTCTCATGAAGTTTGCTTCACTGCCTAGGCTGGTTCCAAACTTGTAAACCTCTTACTTCAGCCTTCCAGAGTGCTGGAATTATAAGAAGATTTCTTTTGGAAGGTTACTTTCAGTTTTGAATCTGCTTACATCTGCTATATCACTTTTTAATACCTTTAAGTACTCTGGCCAATTTTTATTTTTCCCTTTATTTCTGATTTATGAAAAATGTAACTCCATAGTCTATGCTGCTAATTCTTTTTTTTTTTTGGCAGAACTGGGGATTGAACTCAGGCCCTCGCACTTGCCAGGCAAGCATTTATTCTACTGAGCCATCCTCCCAGCCCCTTTATTGCTAATTCCAATAACTTACATTTTACCTACATGCCTGAATTACGGTAGTCTCTCGCTATTATTTCACGGTTTGACTTTCATGAACTCACTGTTTTGCTAGTTTTCAAAAAATATTAATCTAAATTATTTATTGTGGATTTTTCACTATATCATGCAATTTTGCAGTACCACATAATATATGTATACTGTTAAAATTACATAGGTTTATAGGTTTAGAAAATGGTTAAGAATATAAGAAGTGCCTTTAAAAGTGTGGAAAGGGCCAGGGAGGTGGCTCAGTAGGATAAGCGCTTCCCTGACAAGCACAAGGACCTGAGTTGAAATCCCTGGTCCTGCAAAAAAAAAAAAAAAAAAAAGTGTGGGAAAGATTTGTGAGAGTGTGGGAAGGGTTTATAAGGCCTTAAAGGATAAATACTAAAATAAATATAACGTCACTACTTCGCTGATTTTCACTTATTGCAGAAATTCTGAAACATTACCTCCACAATAAGTGAGGGACCACCTTACTACATTTGATCTCCATATTGGGCAAAAAAAAAAAAAAAGCTGGGGACTATGGCACATGCCTGTTGCCCCACCTACTTGGGAGACTGAGGTAGGAGAATCATTTAAGCATAGGAGTTCAGGAGCTGGGAGATAAATCAGTGGTCTAAGTGCCTGCCTGGCAAGTGCAAGGACCCAGGTTCAATCCCTGGTACTGCATGGCCCAGGACCCCAGGTGCACTATGCCAGCCACTGAAACTGGGTATGGTGATGCATGTCTGTAATCCTAGTGCTGAAGAGTCTGAGACAGGAGGATCACTGAGTCTGAGCTGTGTAGGAAGACCCTGCACCTAATAAGTGAGTAAATAAAAGGTTTAAAAAACAAACAAAAAACCCCACAGGAGTTCAAAGCCACCCTGGGCAATATAACAAGATGCCATCTCTAAATACGCAAATAACACAAGTCTGGGTATGCAGACATCTAATGACAAACAACACACATATAAAGAATCAACCATAAAGGCAATTACCTGCATAGCAATTGGACCTTGGGACATTTGAGAGCTGTAATTCATTCCCATCATGCCTTGCATATTAGGTTGCATGACAGAAACCATAGGAAATCCTTGTTGCTGCATTGGCATCAGGCCAGCTAGAAAACATGAAGGCAGTATAAAAATCAGTATCAAAAAATAACAATAACAATCAGTATCAAGTCAATTTACAGAAACCAAACTGCACAGGAAATACTTCAAAGATTCAACAACTGTGATCTCATCATATTAAAGTCTTTGCACATCAAGAAAAATCACCAAAAAAAAAGAAGAAAGAAAAAGAAAAAGAAAAAGAAAAAATCACCAACAGAGTGAAATGAACAACCACAAAACGGGAAAAAACATTTAGCCAACTGTCCCTTAGATCAACTTCTATCTAGAACATGTAAATAATTAAGAAAATTCAGGCCCTCAAAATTTAAAGACCCAATTTAAAAAATGGGCTTCTGAGATGAATACATACTTGTCAGATTAAGAAATATAAATGGCAAATAAATACATAAAAAAATGTTCAATAGCATTCAGGAAATGCAAATTAAAACAACACTGAGAGTCCATCTCACCCCAGAAAGAATGGCTATTATCAAGAAGTCAACCAATAACAAATGCTGGTGGAGGTGTGCAGGAGAAACTGTTCTCCACTGTTGGTGGGAATGCAGACTGGGACAACCGCTGTGGAAATTAGTGTGGAGATTCCTAAAAAAACTCAGAGTAGAGGTTCCATTTGACCCAGTTACTCTCAGAAGAAATGAAAACATCATACCACAGTGATATATGCGCACCCATGTTTATAGCAGCACAATTTGTAATAGCTAAATCTTAGAAACAACCCAAATGCCCATCAATGGAGGAATGGATAAAAAAGATAGCATATTTTTATACAATGGAGTATTACTCAGCTATAAAGATAAACTCAAAGTTTTTATAGGTAAATAGATGCAATTAGAGACTGTCCTCATAAATGAAATAAAACAGAATCACATATGTAGATACCATATTGTTTTCCTAGCATAAGAAACTTAAAAGTGTAAATAAGATCCAAAAGGTACAATAGATAGAATAAAAGGAAAAGTAACTCAAAAGGAAAAAACAACTGGGATGGGGGAAGAGAGAAAAAAAGGAAGGGGGAAAAAAGATATGTACATATTCACAAGATAGCTAAGATAACTGTACTACTAATTTCTATTAGCTCATTGAAAGGAAAAGTTAGTGCTTATATTGTTGGGTCAATTTTGTGTGCCTGTATCTGGTAATCTGAGCAACTACTTTTTTTTTTTTTTTCTTTTACGTATTTAGTACAGATCTCACTACACCAGCTTGGACTCAGACTCATAGTTCTCCTGTTTTCAGCCTCCTTAGTGCTGGGATTACAAGCACATACCACCATACCTGGTCTCAGTGGAGTGCTCAGCGCACCTGGGGGCAGGGCAGGCGTCGCATGTGGTGCCCAGGATCAAGCCTCAGTCCCTACGCTGGCCTACGCAGGTGCTTAGTCTGCTGAGCTATCTCACTGGCCCTACCTGAGCAACTACTTTAAATATAACAATATGCAATATACTAACCATTGCTAATTTCCTATCATCTTGTTTTGAAATTCTGTATTTATTGTTCTTATCTATTTAAAAAATCTGTCTGTCTATGTTTCAAAGTTTGTTTCCTTAAAAGCGTAAGTACCTAGGGGACTTGGTACTTAGACTGAGCACACTGGGTAGAAAATTAGATTCCTGATGAGACAGAGATAAATTCCAACTTTATCTTTACTTAGCTGTACTATCTCAGAGAAGCTGCAAAAACTCCACTGTAAAAAGAAGACAGTATCTGTTTTAAAGAATTTATACGCAAATTAAAAATGAGTGGAATGGTTTAATTCTGGTATTTTGCCTTCAAGTTGGCTCCCAAAGATCTCTGCCCCCTAGTATTCATATACTTGTGCCATTCCCTTGCACCATGAACCAGGATAATCAACAAAATACTGTGGAAATCACAGCACTTGCTCTGGGAAAGGCACATCTGTGGCATGATGGCTCCCCCGCTGCCCTCTGGAGAACCCATGCGGTAAGGAAGTGAGGCCTCCTGCCAAACGCAGCATGGCTTTGCCATCTACGTGAATAAGCCATGTTGGCAGCAGAACCTGTCGTCCTGTGAAGTCTTCAGATGACTTAAGTTCTTCTGGATGACACCTTTACTGCAACCTCATGAGAGGCCTTGAGCAAGAGCCATCTAGAGGCCACTCTGATTCCTCACTCACAGGCACAGTTTGATATAATGTTTACTTTTTTTTTTTTTTTTAATGCTTACTTTTTGAAAATTTGGAGAGAATTTTCATGGACAGCAGATAACAGTTAAGCACATGCACTCTGGAACCAACCAGAAGTGCTACTTCCTAGCTTTGGACCTTGGGCAATTGGCTTAGCTTAGCTTTCTATACCTTGCTTTCTCATCTGTAAAACTGTTTAAAATTCAGTATGTCAAGGAAATGCTATTTTTCTTCTAAGATGAACAGTATACCTTGGCATATAGATGCAATGACAAAAAAACTATCCATAAAGTATGACTTAGACTAGTATTTTCCAAACTTTGCCAATAAAATGCTATATTCTCAAGAACAGAGGAGAATAAATATAGAACATTTGTTTGAGGATTTAATAAACACTAATGCCTAACATATGTAAGGTACAGTTCCATATGCTTGGTATATGACACTGAATAAAACAAAATCACTACCTAGATTGAGCACGCATGTTACAGTATTCTAATTTTGTATTTTATCACGTTCCAGTCCTGTTGGTACTAGAACTAAAAATTTTTTTTTAGCCAAGTGTAAATAATATTTAGAAAGTATACAACATTTATCTTGAGGTTTTGTTCATTTTCTAGGTTACTTATACCTAGCTTAATTTCAGAAGCATTAATTTTGAATGCTAGCTACTAAGACAGGCGACTTATTCATTCAATTATTATTTAGGTATTTGAGAGTCTACTCCAATTTGGGCACTGTCGTAAAAAAATGCAGCAGTGAACAAAATCAGATATTTGTCCTTATGAAATCTACATTACAACTAGAGCAGATTATTTTATTATTTATTTATAATTTTTGGTGGTACCAGGGATCAAATGGTGGTACCATTATATCATACTCAGGACTTTGCTCTTGTCAGGCAAGCACTATTCCACTGAGCTATGTCCCAGGCCCTGGAGCAGATAATTTTAAAAAAACAAGCAGAGCATGGTCGCCCCTGACCGCAACCTCTGGGAGGCCGAGGCAGGCGGAATATAAACTGAGTCTTGCCTGGGCAACTTGGCAAGACCCTGTCTCAAAATAAAAAATAAAAAGGGTTGGGGATGCAGCTCAGTATGAAGGCCCTAGGTTCCATTCCTAGTACTGTAAAAATAAAAATAAAAATCTTAAAAAGTACATCAGGTAATGGTTAAGAACTAGGAAAAAGAGACTAGGTGTGGTGGTACGTACCTGTAATCCCAGCTCTTGGGAGGCTGTAAACAGGCGGATCACTATGAGTCCAGTCTACTAGTGAGACCCTGAACACCCTGTAGACCCTTCCCTAAAAATACAAAAGAACTAGGGAAAAAACTCAAGTAAGGGGGAAAAGGAGACTCAGAAAATGGAATGGTTGTTCTTTTATAAGGATAGTCAGACAAGGTCTCTCCAACAGGGTAGCATTTGAGCACAGACCTGAAGGAACATAACAAATCATGCAGCTATTAGAAGATATTTCAGAGAGGGAAGCATCAAATGCAAAGACCTTGAGGTGTTATGGAGAAGTGAAATGAGCAGATTAAATAGAGCCACATAAGATGTTTTTCTTCATGTCCTTGGGACCTGCAGGTTTATTCATTTTAATTAATTTAATTTTTGAATAGGTAATGTGGGTAATTGGTATGCTATTTAAGTGCATAAAAGTGTTTGTAGTGAGGCTGGGTGCTGGCCCTACATTCCCAGCTACTTGGGAGGTGTGTGCAGGAGGATCAAAAGCTTGAGGTCAGCTTGGGGATCTTAGCAAATTTTTTAAAAAATTGTTTTATAAGGGCTGGGGGGGAAACAGTGCTGGGGGAACTTGCTGACCATGTGTGAAATTCTGGGTTTAAGCCCCAGTATCACAAAAAAGAGGTGCATAAGGTGAAAAATACATCTTTTCTTTCCTGTCTTCTATTCAAGTACTCATGATTTTAGGCCACCCCTGAGGTTGGTGTCTTGCATATGCTTGTAGAAACGATCTGTGCATAATCTATTCATTTATATTTTTGTGTATTTGTTACAGAGTCTCACTACACAGCTCAGACTTGCAGTGATCCTCCTGATTTCAGCCTCTGTGGTGCTAGGATTATAGGCATGTGCCACTATGCCTGGTCTCCGTGGCAGCTTGTGGTGCTGAGGATAGAACCCTGGTTCCTGCACTTGCATAAGCAGGAGCTTAGTACTTAGTCCACTGAGCTATCTCATCGGCCCTCTGTGCATAATTTAAAGCCTTCAAATGATCAAAAAGTGGGGACTGGGGAGATGGCTCAGTAGAATGAGCGCTTCCCTGGCAAGCACAAGGGCCTGAGTTCAATCCCTGGTTCTGGAAAAAAAAAAAGATCAAAAAGTCTATCCTAACATACTTATTTTTTTAAATCTCCAAAAACAATTCCAAAGTCCAAAAGAGAAGATACTGGCTAACCTTTGGGATTTCTTGTTGAATTTTTTGCCCCAAAGGTATATTTTTACTTAGAAGAGTCTAAAAATGCAAAATAATTATCTACACCTGATATAACTCTGTAATACCTTCTCAAAGAACAAAAGATCTCTAGCCATTTGCTCTAAACCTGGGACACATGTAATTACAGAGAGCTTAAATAATGCATAAATGTGAACACAATGAAAAGAATACAACTGATCCTCGGAAAAATTTACCTGAAACTCAACCTCTATCACTGATTATAAATGGAGACAGTCAGGAAGAGCTACTGACCACCTGCTACTGAGCCGCTCTTTATCTTTCATCACTGTCGGTAACCTTGGAGTCTGTTTCTCTAATAAGGCTGCCATACCCCTGGCTCTGTGAGAAGGGCCAGTTTCCAGAAGCAGCTTGGACTGGGGGTTAGGGGGAAGGATATGCTGGAGAGGACAAAGTGAGCAGAGAAGCAAGAGAAGGGTAACACAGTCCTCAGTCTTTCTGAGTGTTGTGTTACAGTTGCCTGAGGCATGAGTCAAGATTACAGCTCGTTACTGTTTTCTTGAAGCCACAGCTAGAACTGCTATTGTTGGGCCTTGGCTCTAAACCCAAAGGGGCACACTTGGTGGAGAAATTTTAAGAATGAAAGACTTAAATACTTTAATTCAGAATATGTCATCTCTTTTATTTACAAGAATTAAAAAGAACACATTTATGAGATCATATTGCATAAGAAAATATGGCAGTGTAAACTAACTAGAGAAGTTTATTTATTAAACGAACATCTACAGGAAGCTATTATGTTCTACCAATATGACGGGTGCTGGAGATACTGATCAGCATGAACATATTTGGCTCCTGCTTTATGGCACTAACAATTTAGGAGAAGAGTAAACAAAAAGCCTGTAATCCCAGCACTTGGGAGGCTGAGGCAGGAGGATTGCTGAGAGTTTTGAGGCCAGCATGAGCTACATAGTGAGTTCAAGACTATCCAGAACTACAAGATGAGACCCTGTCTTAAAAAAAGAAAACAAAAACAAACAAAAAAAGATTACAGAAAAATTTTACTCTATTTGGCATCAAGAGAACTTATTATTACTATTATTATTTTTGTATTTAGTACAGGGTCTACACAGATTGGACTCATAGTGATCCTCCTGTTTTCAGTCTCCCAAGTGCTAGGATTATAGGTGTGCACCGCCACACCCAATCTCATTCCATCTCAGCCTGCCCTGGGGGCGGGGGCGGCACAGCACCCCAGAAATCAAACCCTGGTCCCTGAGTCTGCCTAAATTTGCACATTAATCCGCTGAGCTATCTGGTGAGCCCAGAACTTACTATTTACCCACTTAATCAGTAAGTTCAGAAATACTGAAAAACAAAAGTTCACAATTTAAGCTTTCACATACCTTGAGAAGGTCTTATTGTACCTGCAACTGGAAACATGAAGCTGAAAACAGAATAAAAACATATCATGATGTTCCTATATACAAAGATTTCAAACAAAATATGATTTGTTACATGAATGAAAGAATCATAGACAAGTCTGGTGTCTGTTCAGCAGTACAATACTGAACCGCCCAAAACTAATGCATTAAATATCCAGAGGCTGCATACAACATCAGGTTACAACTTGTCTACCCATAAAATGGCAGCCAGCTTCCATTCAGTGAACATGTACTGAGTACTACTCAAAAAGGACTGAACTCTTCCTCTGAGCAGCCTGAGGTGACCTGTGAAAATGGTTCGCTACTCTCTCTACCCAGAAAAACCCACAGAATCATGCAAATCAAAAGGCTTAAATCTTTGCATTCACTTTAAGAACACGCAAGGAACTGCACAGGCCATCAAGGGTATGCATATCTGCAAGGCCACCAAGTATCTCAAGGATGTCACATTAAAGAAGCAATGTGTGCCATTCCGGCGTTACAATGGTGGAGTTGGTAGGTGTGCCCAGGCCAAACAGTGGGGCTGGACACAGGGTTGGTGGCCCAAAAAGAGTGCTGAATTTCTGCTGCACATGCTTAACATGCAGGGAGTAATGCTGAACTTAAGGGTTTAGATGTAGATTCTCTGGTTATGAACATATCCAAGTGAACGAAAGACCCAAGATGCGCCGCTGTACTTATAGAGCTCATGGCGGGATTAGCTGAAACATGAGCTCCTCCTGCCACACTGAGATGGTCCTTACTGAAAAGGAACAAATTGTTTCCAAACCAGAGGAGGAAGCTGCACAGAAGAAAAAGATATCCCAGAAGAAACTGAAGAAACAAAAACTTATGGAACAGGCATAAATTAAGCATAAAATAAATGTAAATAAAGTTAGAAAAAAAAGACTGAAACAGGTCATAATTCTGAAGACAAAGATGCAACCATGCCATCACACCACAGGATACATATACCAACTGCTTTAAGTGAAGTCCAAAATGCTAACAGAGATGAAGAGAGAGAGACTAACTCAAATGGGTTACATTTCTGGAACTTTCATGGAAGTAACAGTTAAGCTGAATTTTAAAGGAGATGAGAGACACACTACATAGTTTGGGCAAAAGCTCTAAGGTCAGAGATGGAGGAATACTCAGCAACTGTAAGATACAGAATGAAAAAGCAACCAGATTGAAAAGGGCCTTTAAAATGTTTTATTTTGGCCAGGAACGGTGGCACAAGCCTATAGTCCCAGCACTCGGGAGGCTGAGGCAGAAGGACTGTCATGATTTTGAGGCTAGCCTGGGTTACACAGTGAATTCAAGGCCAGTGAACTATACTGCCACACCCCATATCAAAAAAAATTCATTTAAATATTTTTTAAGTCATCAATTCAATGGCATTAAGGATACTTACAAAACTGTGCAACTAGTACCACTAACCACTTCCACAACTCTAATTCCAACAGAAACTCTGTATCCACTAAACAATGAAGCCCCATTAGTCCATCCTCCCATCCCCAGCACCTGGTAAACACTGTTTCACTTGTCTCTATAAATTTGTCTGCTACAGATACCGGCTGTAAATTGAACCAGACCATACTTACCATTTTATATCTGCTTTGTTTCTCTTAGAGAAATATTTTCAAAGTTCATCTATATTGTAGCATGCATTAAAATTCCTGTTTCTTATGATTAATACCCCATTTTAGGGTACAGATTTGTTTACCCATTCACCTTCTGCCTAATGCTGGGGCACTTTTTGCCCTTTGGTGGGCGTGACTATGCCGGCATGAGAAGTGGCCTATGAGTATCTGAGCTCTCAGTTCCTTTCGGATACATAGCTAAGGCTGTCAGGTCATACAGTACCTTTATGTGTACTCTTTGAGAAGCTGCTGAACTGTTTTCCACAGTGGCTGCACCATTTTCCCTTCCACTGGCAACACACTGGGTCCGATCTTCCCACAACCTTCATAATACATATTTTCTGTTTATTTAATGAAAGCCATCCATGTGGGTGTGCAGTGGTAGCTCATTACTGTTTGGAGTTGATTTCCCTAATACCAGCGTTTGAGTAAAGGAATAATAAGACCAGATAGGTGCTTTAGGTTACTCCCATTAACTGTCCACGGCAGAGAAGATTTGCAAGAAAACTAGCTAAAACTACCATAATAATTTTAATAAGAGACGAAAGGGTCATAACTAAAGAACGGCTTGGGAAAAAAATGAAAGATATTTAAAAGAGTCAACAGGACTTGTTAGGAGGGTGAAGAGCAGCGAAAAAGCAGAAAAAGAGGCAAAGAATGCCCCACTCCCACCCCACCCCCAGTCCACTGGAAACAGGAACTCGTAGTGAGTAGATCTGGGCAGAAAGGTGCCGTACTGTCCCTAAGGAGCAGTACAGCAGGCAATCAGGAAAGTAAGTCAAGCTCAGGGGAAAGAACCAGATATCTAGGGAGGCACTTCCTAAAGGTTCAAAATGACTGAGCTCTGGCTGAGAAGGAAACAGCAAAGGCAAGGTGCATATCTAACAAGAAGAAACGAAGGACAACTTTAGTGAATTCTCACAGCAAAAAGTGAGAAATGGTCAGTGAGAACTGTGACCATTAATCTTGATTTGCCAATTTCTTTCTTTTTTTCTGAGTCAGGCTTTTAAGCTACACAAAGGAATTTGTGAATTCATTATTAAAAACAAAGCAGAGTGTTTGAAAGGCATAAAAAGTACCTAACTGCATGGGACACTACCATCTCAGGTTTTTATTAAGAATAATGTCTCTGTTCTTTAATACAATGATGTCACGTCCCAAAAAGTACATTGTAATTACACAAACTCTTGAAGTGAGGCATAAGTGTGTGTATAATAAGTAGAAATGAAAGGCCAAATTAACCAAGTTAATTTCCCAGTATACAGTGACAACTCAGGAGGAAATGTGAAGTTGTGGGATTCTTAAATCACAATAAAACTCTGGGCTGCAGTTGTTCAGTATCTCCACAGATAAGAACTTGAAAAGGAATAATAGCTGTGTCTAAATACAAACCTGAGTCTATATTGTACATTTTTAATATAACCATTTTCCATAACCTGTCTAGATTGGTAACACATGCTGGTAAGTGTTCTTGGTGGGTCGTGGAGGCATGATCTTGGGTACTACATATAGTCCCTCGCTAGCCCACTGCTCTCTGGCACTGTTTCCTGCTCTGGTCCCTGGCCACCATGAAGCCAGCTTAATATGACTGAGTCCCCCCAAACTGTGAGCTAAATTATACCTTTCCACCTTCAGTTGTAAATGCCAGGTGTCTAGCAATGAGAAAGCTAGTACAAGAACTAAAGGAGTTGTTTCCAAGTGAGGAAGGACCCTGTTTCAAGACAAGTTGCTGGTATCTAATGCTATAGAAAAGCTGGTCAGAATGAATATCAAGAAAATCATATCTTTGAAAATAATGGTCTTTGAGTTTCAACAAAGGAAGATTACACCCATAGGAAGAAAGATTTGGGAGACAAATAACAAGATAGCAAGATATATAATTTGAAAAGGAAGAGGATTTCATTCTGTGAGATTACAGGGAAAGAAAAAGGGGATAAGTTAAGAAAATCTTTTGAATGAGAAAGGTTAATGTGGAAGTCAAGGATCTGAAAGGGGGGATGCTAGATAGTCTTTAAAGAATCTAGTGAAACCTAAGAATTATATGCCAAATTTAAATTTAAAAATGCCCTTGCATTTTTCTATTATGGAGGTCACCCTTCCTAGGAGAAAGCTAAAAACTAAATGTTAGAGTCTCTTGGCTCTAAAATGTCTTTTCTTTTAATGTCTTAATTTTTAAGAACAACTTTAAGTAGTTTATAGAGTTTAGTGAGACATCCACCTAGTTGTGTGTTAGAGCACTATACAGGGTCTGGATCACTGCTAAATTCTGCTGTGGACAACAGGCCTATACTCAGGGAAGCCAAGAGTGAACAGCTTCTGGAACTGCACACAAAATGGGATGGCTAAGTGATGCATGTGTTTTTCTTGCTTGTTTGCTTTTCCACTGGGGGGAAGGGTCTCATTGTGTGCACAGGCTGATCTTGAAGGCCTAGACTCAAGTCTTCTTCCTGCCTCAGCTTCCTGAGTGGCAGGGATATAGCTACTACACCTGGCTCTCTTTAACTGGATCAGATACATAAAACTGAAGATGAAACATAGTAGTACTTTGTTTTGAAAGACATTGTTCATACACAAAGACTGATAAATTTAGTAGCAATATAATGCATTTAATAATCAACCGGTCAGGACTTCTCAAAATCGGCCTTAAAGATTAAAATTACTAGCATGCTTCAATGGCTTAGTACAAACTAGAAACTGTAGTTCTATTTCTTTTTTTCCTCAGTGTGCTGTAAGGACTTATTTGTCTATGCGATGTCCTTTACCCTCCTGTCTGCTTTCTCCTCTGGCAAAAGAGGACACAACCTGAAAGTTTGCCGAGGTTCCAACTAAGACAACTATGTAATCAAGAATATACGCTACACATATATAAAGGTTACTAAAAAATTAAAACAAGCTGGGCAGAATAGTCACACCTGTAATCCCAGCACTATGGGAGGCTAAAACAGGATGATTCCAACTTCCAGCCCAACCTGGGCAAATCAGCAATTTGGCAAGATCCTGCCAAAAAAAAAAAAAAAAAAAAAAAAAAAAAAAAAAGAAAAAGAAAAAAAGAAAAAGGAAAAGGAAAGAAAGGGCTGAGGATGTAGCTCAATTCAAGGCACTGGGTTCAACCCCAGTACTGAAATACTGCCACCAAACAAAAACAAAATTAAGAAAACTACTGTTAAACCTAACTTAGGCAAAAACTCAGCAATCCAGATTGCCTAGTGACCCAGGTACCTTTTTTTTTTTTAATGATTCTCTGAAATGTTCTGACAACTAATATCAACAATAAAAGTCTCGTTAGTCAAGCAGCTAAGATATTGATAAGACAGCAAAAGTGGGGCAAAAAACAGCAGCAGTGACCAATAATTTGATTTTAAGGGTAGAAGATTAATTTATATATTGCTGAAGTTTCAGTATCAAAACAGACTTGGGAGCTCTATTTGTCACAAGCTCACCCTCCCCTTCATTCCTTTTTAGTCACTTTGCTACTAACCTAGATTTGCTAAGAGTCTTCACTTCTCAGGATTCCTAAATAAAGACTTCCTAATGGATCACCTCCAGATACTGTGGTTTCTAATTCATCGAATACAGTACAAGTTACGATGCACACCTACTGTTAAAACTGTGATTGGTTTTCCCACAACTGTGCCTGTAAGCTGAATTTCCTTAGTTCAACCTCAAGGTCTTCTCCAGATTGAGCAAACTTTTTTTTTAAAAAACTATTTTATATTCTCTTTATTTATTTATGTATTTGGTACAGGGTCTCACTACACAGCTTGGACTTGTAGTGATCCTCCTGTTTTCTGCCTCCCCAGTGCTAGGATTACAGGTGTGCTCCACTATACCCAGTCTTGGTGGCGGCTTGGCATGCTTGGGTTGTTTTTTGCTTGAAGTCTTACAATAAAGAGAAATATCAAATATGGCCAGTTCTATCTAGTTCACTAATTTTCTTCTTAGTTCAACAAGGAACCGGTTAAGGTCATTTCCCCAGCCCCAGTCCTGTCGTCAGAATGGGGTGCGGGATGAGGGTACTACTTGTTTCTTTTCGTTAAAATATACTTAGGCAACCCATAATGTTAGGTTCCTTACAAAATAAATTCCGCTCCTTCTATTGCTCTCTAAAAACCATAATATTCTCTTTATTGAGCATACAGCTATCAGCCTCAATGTTTCCAATATATGTAACATATTCACCATATATTTTCAAAGTAAGGGTTATTGTAACTGTTTTTCTCTCCCACATATCCTCTAGAATTTGAAAATGTTGATATTACAATTACAGGAGAAAAAATTAAATCTGTCATTCTAATTTCTATCAAAATTCAGGTCATATTTACTAAAAAACAAAACAAAACAAAAAAAACCCTATGTCCCTGGGTCAAAGAAATTAAAATACTGTAAAAATGAGAACTTCTATCAATTTCCTGTTCCTGAGGCCCTTCCCACCCAATTAAAAATAAATACAAACTTGTGCCTGGAATACCAAACTGCAAGTTTCTATTTTCCTAGAATTAGGTGCCATTATAATCATATACTTCCTTAAATTAAGGTCATTTAGGAACTTTTTTGTTTTTTTGTGGTACCAGGGATCGAACTTAGGACTTTATACTTTCCAGGCAGGTGCTTCAGCAGCTGCGCTATCCCCCCAGCCTTACTTAGGAACTTTTAGACACTGCTACCATATACAGAAAGAAACGGAAAGGTTTAATATATAATTTTCTCCAGCTAACAATTTGTGGAAAGCTAATGAAATAGTTAAAAATGGGGCCACAGACAGGTGGCTTATTTTTCTTGGCGTGTATTAAGCACAGGCAAAAGGTAGTAGCTTTAAAAATCTTCTTTTTATAGTGTTCATAAATTACTGTAAAAACAAATGAACACTGTTCTCCAATGACGTTAGGGTACTGACCATAAAGAGCTAGCTTGATCTCCAGATGCGTGTGCAGTATGTGTTGACAAGTGAGAGTAAATCTGACTAGGTCATTATAGAGGTAGGGAAAAGACTATTCGCAATAAAATATTTCCTTAAAAGACAACAAAATTTGTCAAGTTGCAAACGTTTTATCTCTTTACCACCATTCTGGGGATAAGAGCCACAGGCAGTAATTAGCTGAAATAAGAGGCAGGTTTGCTCACAGGTTAAATAGAACTCCAGAGGCTTTGTTGTAATAAATGCAAAACTCCTGTTTAGTGAATTTTCTTTGTTTTTAAATGCCTCTTTAAAGAAGGCAGACAAGTTTTAGAGTTACACAAGAGGTTCATCACAAGACAATTACTAATTCAAAGGTCCTCCAATTGTCCTGCTGTTTGTGCTGTGTTAAGACAATAAAGTAAAAGGACAGGAAGGGATGCTCTCGAAAAGGAGAAGACAAAACACACACGTACGTATCGGAAACAGTTCCTCCCGCTTTGTGCCCAGATATTTCACAGCATTCCCTGCAACGCCCCTGCTGAAGCCCAGAAGGCGCTGGAAAGGGGAGACCCCGGCGGCTCGGCTGCGGGGAGCCGGGGTTCCGCACCCGCCCACCCCGCCGCGCGACCCCGGGCCCCACCCACCCGCCCGGGTCCCCCGGGCAGTACCTTCGTCCCGCACCTCGTTCCAACGACAGGACTGGGGCTGGGGAAACGGCCGTAACCGGCGAGCACCCCTGACCTCCGCGGGGCCTGCGAACCAGGTCGGCGGCGCCTGCGGCCCGCGAGGCCCGCCGGGCTCCGCCCGCCCCCGTCCTCACACCCACCTGCCTCCGCCGGCCGCCCCCGCTCCAGGGCCCGCGGCCCCGCCGCCAGCTCCCGCTCCCGGCCGCAGCGCCATCTTCCTCAGACCGGCCGCCGCCGCGCCAGCAGCTGTCAGGCGAAGACAGCCACTTCCGGGGCAAACGCCAGGCCCCACCTCGCCGCGGCCCTGGTGACGGGGCGGGGCCGCGAGCCCACGTGAGCCCGCGCCCCGGGAACCGGTGCTCGTCACGTGACCCGGCGGTGGGGTGGAGACGCTGTGCGAGGCGGGAGCTGGGCGGGTGTGAGCCGGTGCATTGTCTGGGAGGGACCCCTGCTGAGGTTTTCTGAAAACGCGCACATCGATTTGTGCAGACGCTGAGTTCTAATTTTTAAACTGGATAGTTGGTACACAGGTGTGCTTTCATTGTTACTCATTAAGATTCAAGAATAGATGGATCCTGGGTGGACCCTTTGACAGCTTAACAGCGCCAGTTGTTGGGTACAGCGCCAGATATTTTCCTGGTACTCTGCCTTTCTTTTGGCATCCGTCTGAAGACACCAAAAAGTATTACAAACCTCCGAGGTGCACTATTCTTGGGATTGACTCTGCCATCGTGCCACTTAAGAGTATCTCAGTTTTTCCTTTTCAGCCAGGGACAAAATGGAGGTGTGCTTGGGTGGATGGGGGCACAGTTAGCCTGACCATCAGGGTGTTTCCCACCCCTCCTTCGCGCCCATCAAACTACTATCGAGAAGTGATATATAAGTGAAACCTTTTAGCTCCTAAGTAATGGTTTTCTTGGTTGAAACGGGGATTGAACTCAGACCCTTGCTCTTGCCAGGGAAGCGCTTATTCCACCGAGCCATCTCCCCAGCCCCTAATAAATTAATTGTAATTAGCTTTTTTCCCCCCTACTTTTGCTCTTCTTTATTTAGGACTTTGACGGATAAACAATTTGTAGTAAGTTATTACTTATGGGTACAAGTCGCTGGTCAGGAACTGTATGTGCATTTAAAAACTCAGGGTGCATAACATTATTGGCATTTTGCGGATTTGAAAAAAATCAATCTTAAATCAATGTTCTTTTCTCGGATCACACTATAAGCAGCAGGACCAGAACACGCACAAGTCATTTGACTCCAAAGTCCTTGCCTTTTCACTTGTACCAGCTATTGTTATTGTATGTTCTTTTAGTTGTCCGTTCATTCATTTCACCCCTCTTCTAGGTGAAATGCTGAAATTTACACAGCAGATAGTTCCAAATGGCATAAAGGAGTTTGATTTCAGAATTAATCTGTTGACAAACCTAGTTGTTATGGATTGGGTGGTCATACAGGAGAGAATACTTAAAAGAAAAAAAAAAATAGGGGACTATTTCAAAGATTGTAGAAGATGTGATCTTTGTGCCTGGAATACTTTGCTTATGGACTTCTGTGTGCGGCCCTCAATTCAGGGTGTCAGCCTTGCATATCCCGAATCTGGTTTAGACGGCTCCCCCATGATGTTTCCACAACATGGCTTACATCTAGCAGCATCTAGCACACTGTGTGTTCACTCACTTTACCTCCACTATTAATTGTAAAGGCAGCAATAGTTAAGCTTTCTATTCCTACAAAAACCTTAGGCGTTTGGTAAAGAAGTGTTGTGTGTTTACTAGAGTAGTTTCAAGCACAGTGCTAGACACTTCCTACTTGAGATATATATCATTTCAAAGATGAAAAGTTCAAGCATTAAAAAACTAATGAACTTATTTAAAGTCCCCCAACAGGCAACTAGATTGCACTATTTCCAGAATATATGCTGAACAAGGATCCTGTTTATAAGAACAAAAATCACATGTTTATAAAAACAAAAAAATCGTATGTTTATAAGATTAGCAGTTTTTGTCCCATCTAAAATATTCAAGACAGAGTGCCCGTGTTGATTCTGGGACAAAAAGTCGATTAAACCAAGTAAGTTTAATTCAAAAGCTGCTGAGGAGTTCCCTATATTATAGTATTGTGGCAGCACTGATGATCATGTCATTCTAGGGCACGGGGTCAAGTACCTTACTTGTATAAGGTGTTTTTAAATTCTTCAGTACAAAACTAGTAATTGATCAATCCTTGCTTATAGACAGTTACCTCGGTCACAGTGTGATTTAAGGGTGAAGGGCCATCAAGCTTCGGGAAAGCTAAGTTGTAAGAGGATGAAGCCAGAAGTGCACTGAGCAACATGCATTTTCTTCCTTATGCAGATTTGCCAGTTTTTGAACAAAACCATTTTGAATGCAGAGATAAGAAGGAGCATGATTAAATGTCATAGGATGAAAGGAGAGGCTGATCATAATCTTGTAGATGCAACATTATGGCCGTTACGTGCAAGCAACCTACCAAAGAAGTGTAAGGATACTTAACAGACCAAACAATTTAAAATTTTGGGGAACTTGAACTCTAAGCACAGAAGACACATCTCTGTTGTGGCTCACACCACCAAAGGCCATCAACAAATTACGAAGTATATCAGAAGCAGTAGGTTTCTGTCTGAATGCTATCCTGTTATAGTTCTTGTCCATCCAGGAAAAACAAAACAAAACAACAACAACAACAAAAAGGGAGCAAGTAATTATGTGTGAAGGGTAGGAGGGGCAATTTTAGGACTTTATTTTAAATTGTGTTCCTGTTGCTTCTCCATGGCATGTATCACACTTTCCTTCACACCTGAAGGGAAAAATCCTTAAGATTTCACCACATTGGGTGTTATTTAGAATAAGGTTTTGTTCTTCTATAAGAAGTATCTCTCTGGATTCAACCACAGAAATATCAATAAATATTATTTCCACTGCAAAGTTTTCAGCTAAATCAAAATCTGACATGATGCATTAGTAGTTTAGGATCATTTTCCAATAGTTTTATGTACTTGGACTTGATGCCAAATGTCTGGTAGCAGTGATGACAAGTCTTGGAGAACATTTATGCTGGGACCATAAAATTACATTTCTGTGAGTCTTTTTAAAAGAAGTCTGCTTTTAACTTTTGTTTTCATGAGCTATGTTCTTCTTGCTCTTCTGGCCAGTGACCTTTTTCCTGTGAAAAGGAAATAAAAGTTGAATCAGATATTCTATATATACTTCATTTTCTATAACTGAGAATTTGGTAAACACATAATGACACCTGTATGTAGAAGTATACTTGGCTCTAGGAGCACAAAAGTGTATTAAAAGATCTGACCTGCAGAACACCGCTGTTACCTAATGAGACGGCAGCCTCACAAGAAACTACATTACTATAAAGTATAAGAGATTCTGATGCTGAGTTAATAACGGACATTCACATTGATTCAGTACCAAGTATGATGTTCCATTTGAATTAAGTTGGGTAATTTTTCTAATGACTTAGGAACATTCCATTAGTTTCATTTTGTAGATGAAGGAAATGAGGAACAGAGTGGCAGATAACTTGTCAATCATCACACACCTGTAATAACTGTGACACATGAACCCCAACAGTGTGGTTGTAGAGCCTTGTGAATGGTACATGGCATTAACTATTCACTGCTCAGTGGTAACAAGAAAAATTCTTCTTTTTTTTTGGCGGAATTGGGGATTGAATTCAGGCCCTTGCACTTGCCAGGGAAGTGCTTATTCTACTGAGCCATCTCCCCGGCCAGGAAAAATTTTCAATAATGTCTGCATACTGTATTATAGCAATACAAACTTCTTTAGTATATAATAACTCATCAACTCTGCTCACCAACCCTAAGCAGCAATTTGCATTATTTATATAATTATTTCCATTGGGGGAAGGAGACATGAGAGGTGAAGTAATTGTCTAAAGTAACACAGGGAAGTATCAGAATCAGTTTTCTGATTCCAAACACAGTCCTCCCTCCCCAACTCCAACTATGACAAGTGCCTGAAGTGAAGTCCAGTCGACAACAATAATGGGAAGTGGAGCTGAAGATATGAGCATAAGAGTTATCAGCTGAGGGATATGCTGGAACTCCAGGCATGGGAAGGACCATTCAAGGAACACGCACAGTGGAGAGGCAAGCTACAATCAGGTCAGGATCAGTCTTATTATATGCTTAAAGATGATGGCCTTTAAATGTGAAGAAAATGGAAAGAAAACAAAAGCATTTTTTCCCCATAATTTTATTGAGAAACAAATAGCAATGAGACAGTTTCAAACCAAATTGGTAGGACAGTTTCAATAATTAAC